AGGTTGGCATGGAGAGTCATCATATGGGGTGAAGACTTAAGGAGACAAGGGCTGAGCACAGTGCTTTGAAAAGATATATTAGAAATGGTAAGAAATGGAAGACCTGCAAGCTGGGTTTCTGTGACAAAACAGCCTTAGACTGGCTGAATGGCACATGTTAATATCTTATGAAATGCAGTAACTATGTGTGTTTCTCAACTGTTCTTCAGTTATGTAGAGCTTTCATTAGTATGTGTTGTACACTGAGATTAATAGTATGTTACTGACTTATGTTTATGATATTAACTCATATGGAAGAGGTTAGGACAGAGCTTTGATTGTAATTTTGTGAGGGGTTTGTTTGTTGTTTTGTTTTGTTATTTATAATACTCTTTAGTTACACTATCACATATTGCTTTGGTTGTTGTATTCCACTGGTTTCCTGACCTCAGTGTAGTGTTAGTAGCACAAATGTACAGGACAGCATGGGCAAGTTGAGTCTAATGTTTTCTTTTAACTTTTGACTATTTGCCTCTAACTAGAGCAGTGTTCATTTAATGTACTTTAATTCGCTGTTTAATGTACTATAATTACTAACATTTTTCTCGAAACTGCAAACAATAAAACTCTCCAGTGAAAAAGCTGCCCTAATCCCTTTTACTGTTAGATGTCGAGTTCTTTTGCGGAGTGAAGCTTGTTCTTTGCAGTCTTTGGTCGTGAGTTTCTGTCTTTAGGCCTTGGCCCCTGAACAGACCTGAAGGAGATGTCTGTTCCTTATTGCCTGTAGCATGAATTAGTCCCAATTTTTACTATAATTTGAAGTTGGGAAGAGAGAGAACACTTGGGCCTCTAAGAATACAGTAAACCCAACCCTTACTGATTGAAGGATCAGACAGAAATATAAGCCATCTGATCTCCAAGAAGAGGTACCTATGTGGGTAATGTGGGTACCAGCAATGCAACCCACACCAGCAATGCTGCCAGAAAAGAAGGGAGTCAAGAACTAGCCTCATACAAAGACGTTGTGATTCCTTTCTCATAGAAATATCCTTTCTAGATATTGACATTTGGCTGTTCCGTGTTGCCAAACATGCCCTGTAGTGACAACAGATGTTGAGTTTATTGTTCTATTGGATGAAGATGATGAGCACGAAATAAATTAGAGATGCTAACAAAACCTGAAAGCACTCCAGAAGATCAGATCTTGCCTAATTTGAAATTATTTAAGATGATAATTCAAACCCAGTTTATGTATATTGAGAGTTTATTCACTTACACTTAAATAGTTTCATTGGATTTAGATATGCTGCTATAACGTCTGAGAGCAGAATGTAGGTTTTCTTTAGAATGGATCTTATTTCAAAACACCAGAGATTTATTTAAACTGGATTATTCTGAGTATTAAATACGTTTTCCTTAACAGACTACTTCTCAAGAGTTTGTCTTGCAAAATCTCTGCTTGATATGTTTACACTCTCAGAAGAGAAGAATAAATATCTCCTTTTTCAGTATACATCAGAATATAGTATCCTAATAGCACGTACAGACAAATAAAAAGTGTAGGAAGAACAAATCCATAATTCCAACCCCAGTGTTTCACTTCCATAATTTCCATTAAGGAAAAGAGATCTGATTTATGTTCTTTTTCAAAATGCTAGTTCATGTGTCATTTTAAGCAATTTCCAAAAGTGAGGACTAGAAATATAATACCTAATATAATATAATCTAATCTCTAACATAAATAGTTGGCTTTGGGTTTTTTACTTTATTTGTAAACAGTAGCTGCTAGTGGGTGATGTAAAATACATTGCTATTAAGAGAACTTAGTTGAAACTGAGTTCAATGCAGTCAAGGAAGCTAGTCTACCTTTACATTCTTTAACTAGGCTTTTTTTGCATTGCACCACTGAAGTGTTGATGGACAGAGTTGCTAGCAATATTCACCTCTATACTGATACCTTTCGCAGTTTAAATAGAAGGATAAATGTAGATTAAGATAATTCATGTTTACCATCATTTCCACTCACAATTGGTACATCTCCGAACAGGAGGACAATTGAGCTGACAGGGACCTCTTTCAGGTGGTTTGGAGTTACAGCAATAGTCCTACACTGCCATATCCATCAGCCTGGAGTCTGCTACGCTTTGCAGTATGGCAAATCAATCTACTCCAAGAACAGAGGAAGATGAGAACATGCCCTTTTTTATACTAAGCTGGAGTCTGGTCCATGCAAAGAGTCACACTTCAGTTACTAAGTTTTATTGGTTCTCCCTATAGTGGGTTTTTACTTTGGCTTTGGAGAAGCAAGTTCATACTGTCATAAGAGAACAGAGAAAACAGAAGATTCTCTCTATTTGTGTCATACTGTGATTAAGTCCGTCCGTAATGTCCCTCAATTGTTCTGTCCTTCAATTCATAATGTTTTAGGAATCAGTTTTCTTACAAGATATTTAATATAGTAAAGGCTTTCGCATCTGTAGTTTCTTAGTTGTCCAGATTTTCAGAGGTCTCAGCAGCTGTGCTGTCCTTCTGAAAGCACAACTTGTTTAAAAAAAGATACAAGTCTTGAGTACATAGGTGAGCTTTGCCATCTGTTTAAAGATCAATGTTTAAAAGACAAATATCCAAAGAATTCAGCATATATTTTCTCAAATGTGTACTGTATGCAGAAATGAAAGCTATTTTTCATAACTATGGTCCTTTCTGTCTCTTCATCTGCAACACCACCTCCCTCCTCTCCAATGTCCTAGTTAGATTATGCATTATAACAAAACCTACGATGGCCTTCAAACAGGTGGATATTTTAAAAATAAATTAATAACTACGTAAAACTATTTTCATATAAAATATTAGCATGAAAATGAGAGCTCTGTGTTATGATTATTGCTCTTTTTGGATGAGGCATCTTGGTAAGAATGCCTTTTGTGATTAATTTAAAGGAACTTTAAAAATAGATAAGAGTAAAGGAGCCAATATGGGTTTGGAAGCCAAAAAGTATTATAATAAGAAGTTGATTAGAAAGTCTGTTTCCAGAAGTCTGTGTTGAACTGAGTGAAAACCCTGGAGGTATGTCTGGTGATAATTATGTTTGAGAGAAGCAGACACTAATTTAGGCCTTCGTTTTATTGATACCAAACGCTAAACTAGACGTGGACTTGTGCCCTTATCTTATTAATGACTCAAGACCAAAATTTTAAGAAGTGTTATTTATTTTGCAGCTGGAACAAGAATCCAAATGTTAATATACTTTGGCTAGAAGTCTCTCTAACAAGAGAAACTCGTTCCATGGTTGCTCTGTAGATGAATAGTTTTTTCCATCACTATTTGGAAGACGCAGAAAACTATTGTCTGTTTTGGTTTTCCTTCTTCAAAAGTAAACATATACCAGTTTGCATTTTTAGATTCTAGTGGGGAAAAAAACTCAACATTTAAAACTAACATAAGTGATGTGGTACTTTTTGCGACAAAAATAATAATCACTGTAATCTTCTGTAACAGAATAAAATGCAAATTTAATACTTTTGAAACTTCATTTCTTGTTTGATGACACTCCCAATGTTAAACTTTTTTAAAGATCTGGTCACTAAATAATGTCAAAATTTGTTTTGTTAAATACAAAACTGTATTTATACTGTCAGAGTTGATGATGCTTTACACAATTCAGGTTTAAGTTGCATAGTTGAGGTATATCAATAGTACGAGCTTTATTGTTGGCTGCACAAGTGCCCTTATACCGTGTGGGTACTCGATGAGTACATCCCATACTGCTGCACCTGCATTCTTGTCTGTACCCAGGCTCACTGTGTCCTTCAGTGCAAGGTGCTGTTTTCAGGACATCCTGTAGATGTACTTCATATTTTGAATAATTTAAAATTACCAGTATTTTCATTACATTTATATGCTGCCTATATGCCATCCTACAAAGTTATTGATTATAAAAAAACATTGCAAATGGATTTCAGCTAAAAATTAAAGTCTTGTTATGCAGTCTCATCAACTGAAGCTGGAATAACAACCAGTGACCATGTTTTTAAAGGTAGTAAAGTTGCCAGAAGATGCAGAAATATTCTTAAATATATTTGGAAAAGTGACTCAGCACCTAAAAGGCACCAGTGCACTATTATCCTATTAAAAATATTGCCAAAAAATGGGTTTTAAGACTAAAGTATTTGTCCTAACTTTTCAGGAGACTATTGAGATTTGTGTCTTACAGTGAAACCTTCTTTATTTGATAAAGTGCACGTCCTCAATTGAATACTGAAATGAATCTCATTGTTTATCTATTACCACACATTCAGTTTTTCCACAAGGTTTTGTTGAAGTTGTCCTCTTCTACCTGTTGAACTACATTTCCCACTAAAATTAGGATTTTATAAATGATTATTTTATTAATAGTGAATGTTTCTTAATATTCTGAAAAAAAAAAAAGTGGTTCAAGATGCATTCCCTTAGGGTAACCATATAATTTGCATTGATACAAATACTGGAAAGTCAAAATTACAGCATACTGCCGTTCAAAACTTGTTCATCCAAAAATATTTTGATCTAAGTCCAATGTAATGCTGTTTTACACAAGCTCTTGTAATTGTGCAACTGATGTATGAGATTGTAGCTTACCCCCTTTTAAAAATATTCTTGTTTTCCAACTTTTTGAAGCACTTTCCAAATGTTATGGTTTAGATATTTTTAAAAGCTGCCAATTTGAAGTCATTTCCTCTAAAAAAATGAGTTCTGTGTACGTTTTCCTCTTTTAACTATGTTAGTTTAAATGTTATAGTAAGCAAACAGGCACGTAACAGGGTTTAACACTAAAAATGTTGTCATAACATAGCTATTGTATTCATTTTGCACATAATGATTTATTTAGCGGTATAATTGAATATATCACTGAATGATGGTAGAGAACAAAAACCTAAACTTAAATTCCTTATATCTTTTTTGGTATGTCCTTATATTATTTTTAGTGGTACTGTTTCTGATCTTTGAAAAAAAAGTTCTTTGCTTTGCTTTCCCTTTTGTAGTTGTTTGAGATCACAGTGCCTCTCTCTCATGGCCCCAAACCTGTAACCGTCAGTTTTGCCAATCACACGTCCTGCCGATGCATGTCCAAGTTGGATGTTTACAGACAAGTTCATTCTATCATAAGACGTTCCTTGCCAGCAACACAGATTCAGTAAGTATGAGACCTGTCTTTCCTTTCTCATTATGAGTAAGCTTGTATAATAAGATTTAAAATATTGATGGAAACTTTCACAAGGTGAAACTTATGCACATTAGTAGTAGTAGCAGAGTGCTTCTGTAAAGGAGCTAATGTTGGTTTACATGGAGAGAAAGTTACTAAAGTAATTAGCAAAGTACCTTTTTACTCAGTGGATTAACCGGGGCTAGTTCATTTAAAAATGAAGAATAATGTTATTTGTGAGGTTTGTTTCATGGAAAAAGCTACAATGCAATTGAGGCTTAAGGGAAACATCAATGCAATAACTTTTTAAATAAAAAAGTAATCATAAAAGCTGTCAAAAAATACTTACTTTTGTAGATATGGAGTAGATGACATTTCTCTCTCAAACTGTATTTTCCTATTTAAAAAGCTATTTAAAAAAAAGGCCTGTTTTTAGGGAATCTTTGACTACGAATCTTTTTGGACATCTTCATATGCCAGGACTGAAAATAAAACAGGAGGGGGAAATAAAGGGTTAATTGACAGTTCACAGAAGTAACATGTTGATTTGTTTGGTGATTTTGAATGAAAACAGTCACAGAAGAAATCTGGCACTGAAGCAATTGTTATTAAAACACTTGAAGAACTCCTTCTCTTTATTTTAGAGGACTGAGTGATGATTTCATGATGTGTATGTATTTAGTAGGCCAAGACGACATAGCAGACTAACAGTTGCTTTACACAAGAAGCAATAACTAGAATCTGAACTGGAATTAGTTGTAGACATCTTTAATAAGGCGAGTGAATGGTGCAAAATGCCTATAGATGTAAGCTAGGTCACCTTCACTGTGTTTTCGTTCAGTTAGAAGTCTGGATGTTTTCTGAGATGTTCCAGCTAAACACGTTATTTCTGTGTATAAAAACAGATATATTCTATTCGAATTCAGACTATTGAATTTGTTCATCACAACATGGATTGTAAACAGTGGGCTAGGAAAATACTAAGAAATAAATCTATTAATAGTTTTAATTAATTGCATGATAAACAGACTATAAAAAATCCAAACCGAAGAATCAATGATAAAGTCAAATTATGCTGGCTTTTGACAACTTCTCAGTGCTTCCAGATTAAAAGCAGTTGTAATTACCATTGCAAGAGTTTATTCTAGCCAGGAAACAGCTACCTGTAGTTAGAGGGAAGTAAGTGTACAGATACAAGACTTTGACCAGCACTCACAGGTAGCTGTCTGCCTTGTGAGTAAGGAATCATGCTTCAACAAAGGTTATACAGAGTAGAATCATAGAATGGTTCGGGTTGGAAGGGACCTCAAAGATCATCTAGTTCCAACCCCCCTGCCATGAGCAGGGAAACCCTCCACTACACCAGGTTGCCCAAAGCCTCATCCAACCTGGCCTTGAACACTTCCCGGGATGGGGCATCTGCATCTTCTCTGGGCAACCTGTTCCAGTGCCTCACCACCCTCTGAGTGAAAAATTTCTTCCTTATATCTAATCTAAATCTCCCCTCTTTAGTACTAGATCAGAATATATATACACACCTTCTCTACTGTTAAGTACTGTCTTTAAGTTTAAAATTTATGTCTTTTTACAAGAAAATAAAAAAAAAAAACCAAAAACCAAACAAAAAAAACCTCAAGCTGGCTGCTTCTAGAATCTAGAAAGGAAAATAAAGATATTTCACGTGTTCCCAGCAGGTGCCTGGATGCTTTTCAGAATCCCACTGAGGTTTATTTAATTTGTACTAATGTTCTCAATTTCTTTTTGACTTCTTATTTTTCCTTAACATTTTTATTTGTAGGATTGAATGCTAGTGAAACTGTTGTAAGTCCAAAACTTGGAAATTTACTTTCTTGTCAGAGTGGCAGGTCTGCATGTGTGCATGTATTTTTATATACATGCTTATTTTAACAGAAGTATAGTAATGACTTTCTTGTTACGGGAATAAAAGCCTAAAAGTGTAATCTCAGGACAGAGATCTCTGGGATCTAATAAAAATTCAAGGCTGGCTTTTGCCACGATACTCGGGCACATGTTAGAAAGAAGGTAGAAATGACATTTAAGTTAGAATGCAAATAGTCAGTCTTTTAAAATATAAAATATATTTTCTGCACAACTTTATCCTGATAATTAAGGTCTAGGTCTTTGCCTGTTCTCCCACTTTTTTCCTTTTTTTCCTTCTAAAAAGTAGTAGCTACGTCTACATACTTGCGGAGCTGAGGCATGTCAGTTCACGTTAAGCAATGTTTCAGATACCTCCTGGATTAATGGTATCGTAAGTTGTACTCTCCTCTCTGTATAGAAGAGTCAAGAATATAGAATGTCATCAAGATGTGCAACTGAGTTAGAAAGTTGTCACTTTATTTTAGAAGTGAGTTGGGGGGGTGGAGAGGAACAGAGGAGTCTTCAATATACATAATTCAGATCCAAATCTCTATGATGATGGGGTTTTTTTCCCCATGGTTTGTAGGTAGGCGCTTACTGAGCTGATAAGCATGTTTTAGTTGTGTTTTGGATGTATATTGTACACATTAAATGTTTCCCCTTCTTGTGCAATATCTGTCCTGACACTGACAGGTAACGAGTTAGCATGCTTATTATTTTTTTTTTTATTCTTTATTTTTTTTTTAGTTGATTTGACAATGATTTGGAAAGAGTTAGTGAAATTTTCTGCAAAGCAGTTTTGCCTCTGATTTTTGTTTTCTAGCCTTCCTAAACTTTCCTAAAATGTTGAAATAAGCAATTTTAAAATTCAGCCATATTCTCTACTAATTTTCTGTACTAGCAACCACAGTAGAATTTGTAAACAAGCAGCTCCAGTTCCTTTTGCTGAACCCTGATTCTGAAATACGTATTGTTCTCTTCAACTTCTGGTAACTTGGGGTTTCTATCAACATTGTCTTATTGGTTCTTGTGCACTTGTTTTTTTCTTCACGCTGCCACCCTGGCTTCCTTCTGTAGTTAAACACTCCCAGCTAGAGCCAGGCTTCTCCAGCTGTCAGTTGTTTTTTAAAAACAGAATACAACAGTACATCTGTAAATTATCCGTACTGTTTCTCAAGTGGTATCAGGAGGCAGGCAAAAGGACCTGTGTGCCAAGTGAGGGAGCAAGAGTGAGATCATTAGCAGAATGAAATCAGGAAGCACCAGCTTGATAAAACATGAGGCGATGCAGGGTGATGTTAAACTGCAGCAGTCTTTACAAGCAGGGAGCCGTTTAATGTGGTGAAGGGGAGTGGTGGTATACTTGAATGATGATCATGGAAGAATGCCCCAGCACCTGCATTTTTCAATGCATGAGTAATGGTGCTCAGGGGAACAAAAAGTGCTTAAAACATATAATGTATATGCTGCCTTAACAGATGAGGATTCTAGAAATACGACAGAAACAATGAATAAATGACACAGCCTTGATGCATCAAGTTAGGCATGACTTGTTGAAAGTTGTAATGTCACCTGCGGTGATAAAGAAATTGCAAGCAAGGGAGATCAAATATAACAAAAATATTGCATCTGTGGTGTAGCTGCTAGTTAAATTCAGTCATCCTTTAAAAAGAGACCAACTGCTGTTAGGACTTTTTGCCTTCTTTGCTTACCAGTACCTTGGCTGCAAAACTCTAGCAGGTAAAAAGCGTTAAATTGTTTATTGTCTTTCATTTTTAAAGTGAAGAGGCATCACTGCTGAAGTCCAAACCTTTAAATTCAAGAAAGGTGTCCAGGATTTGAATGGCTGATAAGAAAGAGTCTGTTAATGTCACATAATTTTAACATAAAGGGGAAAGGAATCTGATAATCTAATTTTATTTTAGAAATTAGTTTGATCTACAGCATTCATTCAGAAACTATTATCAGCTGTCTTTTGATGTCTACATGCGTGAAAACATTTTTGTACTGCAAAAAAGAATACAGAAAATTATACCTATTACCACCTATGAGGTATTTGACATGCAAATATTTTTTATATCAGACAGTTTTCTATATGAGGCTTACATTCAAGGGTTAAGTCTGTTTCCAAACTACATTAGGAAAGTACAAATATCAGTTTCTAGAAGTTAGAGCTAAAACTTGAAACGTGAGAAGGTTGGTTGAAGATTCCTGTAGTGGGGAGAACCTTAGTAACAGATTAGATAGGAGTTAAAAACGAGATTATGAATGAGTTCAAGTTCTTTGAAAGGTTTTTGTAATGGGGGGAAACAGAACCAATTAGCACCTAAATTGATTTTTTTTTCTTGAATTCTTATGGTAGTAAATCAACAGTGTATTTCATTCCACAGGTGTCACGTGGCAAACAAGACCTGTCCAAAAAATCATATCTGGAATAATCAAATTTGCAGATGTTTGGCACAACATGATTTTGGTTTCTCTTCTCACCTTGGAGATTCTGGTAAGCAGTTTTGCTTGAACAATTAAATGTAGTCCCATGTTTTGATTTACTTAAAGGAGAAATTAAAAACATGAAAAGTAAATAGTTTAATTGTTTTCTTTATTGATACTATTACTGGTTGTTGCCTGCCTTTTGACATGTGTTTGTTCTTAAAACACCTCAAAATGTACAAATTTGATACCATTTCTTCCCTTAAAAATACAGAATTCTGATAATTGTGCAACTTCTCTGCTGTATTTCTAGACACATCTGAAGGATTCCACATTTGTGGACCAAACAAGGAGCTGGATGAGGAAACTTGTCAATGTGTCTGCAAAGGAGGCGTGCGGCCCTCAAGCTGTGGACCTCACAAAGAATTAGACAGATCATCATGTCAGTGCATGTGCAAAAACAAACTTGTCCCCACTTCCTGCGGACCCAACAAGGAATTTGATGAAGATAAGTGCCAGTGTGTATGTAAAAAGACCTGTCCTAAACATCAGCCACTAAATCCTGCAAAGTGCATCTGTGAATGTATAGAATCACCCAATAAATGCTTCTTAAAAGGAAAAAGGTTCCATCACCAGACATGCAGGTAAAAACTGGGTCTTTAGCCCTTTCCTTGTGTTTAAGGTATAAAATTTTTGTTTGTGTCATTATCTGTCTTGTTGGATTGCTTTGTAGCCTTAAGTAAACAGTAAGCTTCTCTTCAATTCAGTTCTATCTTCTATAATTTTTATCTCTCCTAAGAGGAAACTCCTAGGCAGAAAGAGTATTTTAAAGCATGTTTAGTTTCTTGTACTCTTACTACTACTTTGTGTAATTTTTTTTTCTTTAATGGAAGTGAGGTTTAAGTTCAAGGTCTTCATTTTTTAGTACTACGTAAAATCCCACTCTATTTTTCCCAAGAACTGAATGTTGCAATTCAGATAACTCAAATATTTCTAACTAAATCCCGGGGATTAGTTCTGGAGGATGCCATCATTCATTTTCACCTCCTAAATTTTTGCACATCCTTCATTTCACTCAACTGATACTAAAGATTTATGAATGCATAAAAAGATCTTATAACTCTGGGTGATTTCTGTGAGAAGTAGACATATATAACTGTAAAACAGGCTGCCCATGTTCATTGTTTAAAATGGGATTTGGTCAGGAAGAAAACTGCAATTTCTTTATATATCACAGGAGCTTTTCCTTCCACGACTGCTACACAACGGTAGCGGTCTATATATAAAAATGTGAATGACTTCAGGTTCTGAGAAACAAACAATATTATTTCTGCTCTGTATACTCTGTGAGGAAAGTTTTCCTGTAAGGTGATTTTGTTGAAACAGAAACAATCCCCTTTGGCAGAAAGATCACTTATTTATTAACATATGGAAATTATTTTCATTATATTAATGACAAATAAAAATTCCAGAAATGTTCAGGCACTAGAAATACAAAATAGAAAATTGGGACATTTAAATGTCTGTGCTTATTCATTGCTTATCAGTCATGGCCTATCTGTATTTTAAAAGAACATTCTCAACTGGAAAAGTCAGGCATTAAAAAAGCTAAGAAATGCCATAATAGATATCTTATGCCACCTCTATTGATTTAAAGACTTAGTATTTGAAGGAGGGAATTGAGCTCAGCTTTTCTGTGTGGTGTTGTGCTTGAATATGATAAAGAGTTTGAATCCCTTTCTCACTTCCAAGGACAATGCGATACAGGATTCTTTCAGCTGTTTCTCTTTTCTAAGCAGTTCATCTTTGCGTGGAGAAAGAGAGAAAGATATATATATGTTATTCTATAGCTCTGCAACCAATAGCTCCATAGATAGTAGCACTGTCAAGGAAAATAGATGTGATCTCTCCTCCTTCTTCAGAAAGCACTTAGAAGTTTCTCACGTTTTTGGTGTGTCCATAAGCTTTCTGTAAAACAAATAAAAACCCTGCAACATCCCGTTTGTCTTTTGAAAGAAAGATCCCTTGCTGTTATGAGTCCACGTAATTGGAGGTACCACTCTATAAGTTTGTGCAAGACGCCCGAGACTTAGACATGAGCACACTGTAGCTGTGTCCTAGATAGCTCCCCATGCAGACAGATAGTCCTTGCAGGTTCTGGTTTTGAAGCACCTGCATTTTTATGCACTGTGCCTAAAATACTCCTGCCTCTAATGTTAGATCCTGCTCCAGAGGACAGGAATAAGTCATTTAGAAAGAACAGGACCGAAAAAAAGAAAAGGAAAGGAAAAGAAAAACAAAAGGATACCGTAAAGCATACTGGCTTTTAAGGTGATCATGCTGTTACCACCACTAAAAGCAGCATTCTTACTTTGATTTCATCTGTGCAGATGTTAGGCTCTCCAAAATCTCAAACCTGAGTATTTGTTAGCAAAAATCACTATTACTGATCATAAAAGGCAAGTTGCCACTGACTCACCCAGCACTATAGATATTGACCGCACATCTGTCTTACCAGCATGCTCACATTGTCCTCATATCTGTCACATGAAAGCAGTCCATAAACAACATTCAGCCTAAATCTTTTGAAAGACCTGGTCTATTGTTCAGCAGAGTTTCCTAAGGAAACCACATTTATATAGTTACAATGACTGTGCTACTATTCACCCTGTGCTATCACCTCAAAAATTTATTTTGGTCAGTTTTGGCAGGGCCAGATAAGTAAGCACCTCAGCTGCAAAGCATTTTAGAGGAGAGGGACTTTCTTGCTCTGTTGAAATGTCCCAAATAAGGATAAGATTGCAGTAACCTGACCTTAACTGCTGCTAGACACAAACTCACATGAGAGAGATGCTTTATAGCGTTGTCAGCTGTAAATTAAGTTGAAGTTCACAGTTCACTCGGAGGCACGAATCCTAAACAAAGTGAACTCATATTTAAAGGATTACATGACTGCTTTTCATTTCGTGTAACATGTCATAGGTGACTGGAAGGGTTTGACTTTGTCTTTTTTGTTTCTTTTCTTTCCTTTTCTTTCTCTTTTTTCATTCTATGGTTGTTCAATACATGAAATAGTCTAACTTTCATGGCAGAGATGGGCAAAAAGGCAAGTGAGTTCAGCGTTTCATCCATTGCATCTCTATGGATTACCTTTTTCCCAAAACAAGACTACTGCTGGTTGCCCGTTTGTTCAGAACATTAGATCCTTTTGCAAATGTGCAAGACAGTAGAGTTCACTTGCCTGCTTTCTCAAGTGACACCGTGAATTTTCTTGCCTTTTACCACTGTTTCCAAACTTTCTTGGGCAAAAGATCAGCAAGGCTTTGAGAGATTCCCATGAGCTGTTACACTAATCTCAGAATCTAAGTGGCACAAAATAATGTTACTCCCTTAAGTACAGGGACCACACTGATGAAACAATCTATGATTAATGACATTGAAAACACTGAACAAGATGTGACTAGTTAATAAATGTCATGTCTGCAGTCTTCCTCATTCCTTATTGTTTTCCTCATAGCCAGGTTCATTGGTTGAACTAGCTGGTTTGAATTAATGTAACTGTAATCCAGACCTCATATCATAAACAAATTATTGCAAAGTAGTAACTTGGTATCCAAAACAAGCACACAACATATTAACTTATCTGCAACAATAATAAGAATAGCCACAAGCCTGAAACAAGGATTGCCTAGGGAACAGGATAGTGACTGCCTTAATATAGTGTACTGTAGTGTCTTTGAACTGAAGTAAGTACGAATTATACTAATAGATCATAATACCAGTGTTTCACAAACAGACACACATTATTTAAACACAAGTTTTAAGTATAACTGTGTTGAAATTCGAAACATATATTTTGTCTTTTGACTCATTGCCAGCATCTGAAAAAAAAAACCCAGACTTGTACTTTGTCTCCATTATACACCAGAAAGTATTTAGTATTGTTATTGCAAGGTTATTTTAGGTCAAGTTCTTGTTTTAATAGAAAAATAAAATAGGAAAAGGAAGAGTTCAGGGACAACCACAGATAGCATCGCTGTATAAGTTCTATTTTTCAGTCGAGGAGTCTGTGAAGAAAAGTGCTGTTTCTTGGGTAGATGTGACTTGTGATTTAATGTTCTATTTCTGTTCAACTTATTTTAATCAAATAGGGACTATTTCTGTCCTTTTTCCTTGAAGATTTATCATGAACATGCAGGCTCTGATCTAACTTCAGAATGCATATAGATGCAGTATCCCTACTGACCTCAGAGAACGCCTATAGGAGCCTGCAATTTGAAAGGAAGTATGTTCTCGTTTTCAAGATCAGAGTCACAGTGTAACGTCCGTAGACAAATGTCTCTCAGGCTTATTGCATTAGTGAATAAGGTGAGAAACAATCCTGGGTAAGAAGATTAGGTAGACTTGATTATCACCTGATTCTGGACTGCCACCTCAAACTGGCAGCATGCAGTAGGTCATAAGTCAATTTGAGTACAGAAAAATATTACTGTATTTTCAAAATTAAATTTTAAAAGTGCTACTCAAGATTAGAATGCAACTACAATCAGTCAATGTGTTAAAAATATTCATGAGTATCTGTTGTAATAGAATAATTTCTCTTCAATAGCATTTATTATTCTTTCATTGTCTTTTGTGAAGAATACTCCAATCAAAAGTAGTTGCAAGAACTTAAACACAAGTTAGAGATATGTATTTGTAGGAATTAAAGATCCCATGGAGAAATGGCAATCTGAATGCACACAGATTTCTACGCCAGGTTAATATAAATGATCATGTTATTATGTTATATTAACACCCACTTTTTATCATTTCTTTAGTTGTTACAGACCGCCGTGTACAGTCCGAACGAAACGCTGTGATGCTGGATTTTACTTCAGTGAAGAAGTGTGCCGCTGTGTACCCACATATTGGAAAAGACCACTTATGAATTAGTGAAGAGAGCACTACTTGCTATTTTGGTGTACATTTTTCCATTAAAACAAAAGAACAACAGAAACTTTGCTAATATTTGGAATTAAATGTTCACCAGGGACCCTGTGGGCCTTTCAGAGACAGACTTATTGTGCTTTTCTCAAGAAGTGGAAAGCAAATGTAGAAAATAACTGGGGTTCATGTTTTGTAAAGAACTCAGTAAGGACTTATTTTCTGCCAATGACCAAACAGCCTAGGTTCTCCTTCTTGTGATTTTTTTTTTTTTTAAAGAGATAATGACTATATAATTTATTTCCACTAAAACCATTGTGCAGCATTTCTGTTTATAGCAGTAACAATTGTTAAAGCTCACTGTGATCAATATTTTTATATCATGCAAAGTATGTTTAAAATAAAATGAAAATTGTATTATATAATGGTGAGAATGTTTAATCATCTGCCTAAAGAAAGGAACTGCAATTCAGTTTTATCATCAGAGTTCCTAAAAGGGGGAAAGGCGATTAAGAGAAAGCACTTCTATGAAAGGAAGACTACAGACATTTTCTCATATCTGCTGTGTATGTCATTTGAAATAGAAAGAGTTATACTTAGTGTTCCATGATCCAGTGATATTTCTGTCTCTAGAACGAAACTAACAAAGCAAGTACAATTAGTAACTAAATAAAATATTGGAGATCCTGTATGTTGCCCAAGGATAAGGACTACGTTTGAAGGACAGCAGCAATTACTCACATGCCAATATATTCACCTTTTATTTTATTTCCTGTTAGCATTCGTAAAGAATAATGTAAAATAACTTCTATTGAAGGACGTTATAATTAGTTGGAAAGTGGAAATATCAACTATGCTTTTTATTTAGTATTACAGGCTATATTGTGAAATTTACAACTATGCTTTAGTGCACTTTCAGTCTTTCATATAGTCAATCAGATGTCTTGGTCAGAAATGTATGTGTGCGCAAAAATACTTTGAAGGAAAATAATACATTTTACATTCCAATGGAGACATAAAAGGACTTCAACCAGTCCGGTATGGATTGACATCATCTCTACATAAAAAATGGTCAGGACTTCTCTTTGTTAAAGAGAGTGTGAAATCAAACATCTACAACTCTAAAAAGAGGTAAGATTTTTAACTTGCATGGGAAGAGCAATGTGCATAGAACAATCTATTCAAAACTAAAATGTTTCAGAAGTTGTAATGAAATTGTTAAATCATGGAAACTTTATTGGAAGCGGAACAAGTAAAGCCGCAAAGCAAGATTTTTGTGACAGGAGTGGGCAGATCTGCAAAAACTAATTTTAGATGTCAGTATTCTGAAGTGCTGGTTCTAAACAGCTGTTCTTAAAAGGTTTATTAATTAAATAGTATTATTTCTGATTTTTTTCCTAGAAAGTTGGTGATGAGGAATTGCTTTTCTAGATTCTTGAATATTTAGATATCAGAGTTCCTAAAACTGAGTTAAAGCCAATTTTAATTTCTCAGCACCCATCATGAGTTGAGACAGTTTAACAAGTAGGCAGGATGAGAGTCAGTTTGAGGATTCACACTTTCCACTGTATGTCTAATGTCCTCAATGTTCTTCCTAAGAGGCTAGCTATTTACTATCTCAATAGGGTAATAGGATGAAGTTTAGGCCTACAAATACTGAGGAATGTCTTTATTATTATATTGCCTCAGCAATCAAATGCAGGTAGAACTCCAAATGATGATTTAACATTGAAATACAACTTTATGCCAGTATAACAACACACCGTACCCATCAGTTGGACTAGTAGTCATGTAAATCAACAGTGTCTAAACTGATGATGTCAATATAATAGCAAGAGGTTAATAGTCAAAACTTCAGTATTATTATCCAGGCATCCACTTCTATACACCAGCTGCTTGAAGAAAGCATAAAATACCTTAAGAAATCAATTAAAGAGCAAATTTTAATGAAGACTTGAGTAAACAAACCATAGGTGAAGCTCCAAAAATAAGCTTTTTAATATCTCTCCAAGCCCAATACAGAAGAGAGGCAGTGAGGGAAAACAAACCAAATCTGAAACCAGGAATAGAGGCCAAGTAAGCCAGTATCTAACAGATAAAATATGTGCTTGTGGTTTAAAAGGAGGAGGGCACAAGTGAAGACAGAGCAAAACCGCATTCCAACAAGTAATTCTATATGGATTGTAAAAAGTACGTGTTACAATTCTGTGTAAATAAAAAGCTACTAAACTGAGCAGTGCTTGCTTTACATGTCTAAACTATCTGAAAAGAGTTCATGAAAACAGACCTAATAAAACCATTCTGGCTAAGCAGATATTTGGATTTCTACTGAGCACGCTACACTCCAAAATCATAAAACCCATGAGGGTAGGGAAGGGCAGGCAAGTCAGGGAGTCTGAAAATGAGAGCACTGAACAGGAAGCTCTAACTTTATTACAAACACCAGCATTCAATAAGCATTACTTTCTCAAATGCATTTTTTTCAGTTTCTTAACTTTCCACATATTGAGGCTTTGGGACATGGTTTATATAAATCACTAAGTAAAACTAAGATTTAAAGAAAGTACAGAGCTGACCTCTAAAAGTTACCTCAAATCAGGTTTACGTCTGAGCAAAGTGACAGGTTACCTGTTCTCAAAGGTATGCAGATGGGTAGAATAGTGTAGGCAGGCAGTTGATAGCATTTTTTTGGTAATCAGGCACTCCAATTCCACTTTACATGAAAATAGCAGGCTTTTTAAAATGCATTACACACAAGAACAAAATGAATATCACAATTGTTATCATTAGCATAGGCTACAGATTTCCCATTCTGTGTGATTAAAAAGTCATTCTATTTAATTCACTACTGTCACAAAATCCTCTATATTTAAGCAAGGGTTTATCTGCAGAGAAATATAGAGCGGTGGCATAATCTGCATAGCAAGTCTTCCTTGCATCTATTATATAAAGTAGCTGAAGGGTTTACACCATTTTCAGTTTTGAAGTGTTATTTGATTGTAATCTCCTTGCAATCTTCATCTTAATTTCAAATCTTAATTTAGTATTCTTAAACTATATTTAAAAAGAGACTATACAGCTTAAAAGAAGATCTAAAAATATAGGTGATGAATCTATATACAAATTATTCTACACTAACTCTGGATAAAAAGCTCATGTTTTTTGTCTAAAGCCCCTGTACCTTCTACAAAAAATACAAGTAGGGGGAGAAGGAAAGAACGCACATGCGTAACTCTGCAGTGAATCACATTTAATAATAAACAGACTTATGCTTGCGTTTCATCAGGAATTTACAACAGTTTCTGTACTCTTTCAATATTATGCTATATGGAGACAATAAATTATGCGGAGCAACACCTCTCTACCCGTATTAACAGAAGGACATGCTATTTACAGCATGAGTGTTGTTAGTCGGATGACACGTTTGTTTAATTCATGTTGAACAAGTTGATAGTAAATCAATTCTCTTAGTCCGATTTGAAAGACAGACCAGCATGAAATCTCACATATGTACCATATCATCTAGAAAGGAAGGCTTAGTGTTAGGATTGCTTTCCATATTCTCATTTTCAGTCTTCTGATCTCAGTGACAAAGCCAGATGTCCTTGAATTTTAGCATCTATCTCTCTGATTTTCTGGAATTATAACTAGCTATCACATCTATGCCAAAAGCTAGGAATGGAATAATTTATGCAGCCAGTAAGCTCATCAACAGATTAGCCTGAGGAATAGAATATATTCTTTTAAATATTCTTTAATTTATATTTGATTTAAGAATATATTCTTTAAAGGTTATTTAATTTATTGAATATTATTTAATTTTGTGTTATTTGAAAGTGCAAAATGTTGTCCTCGAGTAGAAAAGTTTAAAGGTGATCAACTCAGAATTTTCAGAACTTTTGAAATTTAGTCAATATCATATAGTTAGAATTTTTAGTATTAGAGGGGTTTTAATAAAAATAAAATAATAGTTGCTTATTTAATAGCTTTCTTTTGTTCTATTCCCCTTTTTCTTCCCCCTTTCAGATAAAACTGGTAAAGAATACAGGACAACCTTCTGACTGAGCGATGAAATACTAAGATCAAATGGACCAGGTATTTAATTTTTTAAAATGTAATAAATAGGAAGGACTAATAAGGACTAATAATATTAGGCCAGTTTAATGCAAGTTTAAGACTCCAGATTACACTAGAGTTCTTAAAAGCTCTGGATAAATCAAAACATTTTTATAGAATAACATATCTGGACTAATATTATCTAGAATTTTGGTCCAAATATTGTAGTGGAATCTGAACAGTAGCAAGCATTAAGAGGTCACCAATTGTACAGTAGCACAGTTTTTAAAATTTCAGTAATTTATTATTAGAAAAGTGTATATTTTATCTCTAGTCTGAAGCTATGAATCAGGGGACCTTACTTCAGCTTGAGAAAGTATGGAATTATAAAAAATGGCTCATTCCAGAAAAAAAAAAAAGTAAGATCTTAAAACACAACGCTTTGCTCTTTTGTATAAGCATTGCTACTTGTTGGCGAACCACTATGGAAATCTCTGAAAAATCATATATTACCATTTATTCTCTTTTCTTCTCAGCCAAACATTGTCATGAAAATAACATCTTGTAGATTCAGATATTTTTCATGGGTAGGGGTACTGTATCCATTCTTGACAGACACTGACCTTTCTACTGAGTTTCGGCAAACTATCCATTTTCTACACTTACAATCAGCTGTATTTGGTCACTGAACTCTTCCCCTTTGCCCCCTTTCTCATTTTAAATTACTTCTCTTAGATTCCTGGACCATATCTCAGTCTCCCCATAAGAATATCTGTATTTCCCTTTCAGCCTCTCTGACATATCACTGTTAACTCTAACCCTTCCATTTCCCTTTTATATCCAGTCTCTCACTAAAAATGACATTGCTTTCCTCTCTGTTACTATTAAGACCTTTTTCCTTTTTCTGCTTTAAATAATCATGCCAACATGAGGATTAATCTGTTTTTAGTTGTCTAGTGATACTCTTAGCTATTCATATATGAAAGAACAAGTGTTGAAGTCTGAAACTTCACATTCCAAGTGTGCAAATCCCATCTGCCCAAGCAAATAATTTTTTTTTTTTTCAGTGGAGAGCCTCCCAAAGCAAACTTAAAAATAACAGATGCAGAAATCACCCTAGCAAATTACACTTGAAACTTAAAAGGCGATTTATGATAATCACCTTCTCTGTAAAAACCACAAAGTTTAATTCTGCTGGATGTTGGATACTGTCTCTGAAATCTAACATTGCACTCATTCGGTCTTCAACAATGTCCAGCGCAGCATTTTGGAACTTAATTCAGCCATGTAATTGAGTTTATGTTCATGTCTCATTCATAAGCGTGGAAAAAATCCAGGACTTAAGGGCAGGTAAGGAGACTTTTTCAAACATACTGCA